AACGGTTCAAGGACCAGAGCTGATGTGATTATTTGACCCAAATGTCAAATTGACAACATTCAACATTTTATTTATTTAATATAAAAATAACTGAAAAAAGTCATTTGAAACCTGATGTCTCAAGTCAAGTAAAGAGTCTTAAACTTCCAATTCCATGTCAAGTCTCAAGTCATTCATTTTCTGTCGAGTCAAGTTGCAAGTGATCAAAACAGCAACTCCAGTCGAAGTCCAAGTCACAATGACTCAAGTCATGTTGACTATTCTGTTTTGAATATTTGTGTGGAAATCCATGGCCACAGATTGTAACAATGAAACTTTGTTCAAATGCAGTATGTTCAGTTCTGTTAATGATTAGTCAAATGTATGTAATTTATACTCTGCTCTGATTGGCTGATGGTCACTATTATGTGCAGCACAAAGGTAAGACAGGTGTTATAGTATTCTATACTGATTATTTATCTGTGCTTTTATTGGGTATAGTTAAATAATTACACTACCTAACCCCCACCCCTTTTATTCTGAAGGTCAGAAGTCTTATTGTTGCAATGAATGAATCTCAACTGTGCATTTCTCTGCTTGCACACATTTCCAATCAGTACTTCTTTGGAACGTGTGACCCCCCACTGCCTGTGGACAAAATTAATCAGTACTTTCTAAATACTTAAGGTAAATGTCTGGGATTCCTTTTCATATTTCCAGGCTTACAATTTAAAACAAATCTCTAAAATATGTAACATATGCACTCCTCATAAACTGAATGAAGTTCTTTTCTGTGGTTTGTCTCGTAAGCAGTGCCAGGAAAAAATCCCTATTATATTTGACTCCATCAAAACCTGACAGCGGGCTGGAAACCTGGGAGATTGGGATGTGAAATGGCATAAACATACACCAATTTTTAAAAACAAATTACTCTGGTACGCTCCGTACCTCCTGGACTAAATGCATTCTCTTTCCCATAATATCAATAGCGAAGGTCTAAGATAATCCTACATAGAAAATATATTTTACCATAACCGCTTTCTTTTATCTACAGCTGAGGTCAGTTGTTGGAGCTTGTGGGGTTCGGTGGGAAGATGCTCTACCCATACATCCCCTCCTCAATTATATAATGAGTTAACCCAAAATTGGGGGCTTTGTATCTTATATGTACAAGTTATGTGCTTGCCAATGGGTGTGACCAAGGTCTAGAATGTTGGATTAAAAAACTGGCAGGAGTCGATCAAATGAAGAAGACTTTGCTAAAATGTGGCCCTCTCCTCCTGAAACTGTAACTATCAAATGATTAATTTCAAATGTAACAAATCTGACCCCTAGGGACGGACCAGTTCCAGCTTTGTCCCACACCCATTTGCATATTACAACCTATTTGCATGTAATATGGCTGTGTCCATTTTTGGTCTAAAGTTTTATGGTAAGTTATTGAGTGAAATATTGACACATACCCACCTGTAAGTCCACATCTTTACGGAGATGTGGACTACAGTTTTTGTTCTTTGTCCTTTATAACTGATGTTTTGGGGGTTTTTTGATAAAGATTTCTGTGTTTTGTTTCCTTTTTTTGTGGGGTTATTTTACCCATGTGCCATCTAGGGTGGGGAAGGGAGGAGGGGGAACTTTAACTGCAGGGGCAAATAAGAGCCCTTTGGTGGGCCTTTGGTGAATGCTTGTATATTTATGTTAAAATGATAGTTAAAATTTTAGTAGCAATCTAACCTCCAGGATTGAAAAAAATAAAAAAATAAAAATATAGGACAAACATTTAGCAAGGCACTAAGCATTCACTGACTACAGACTACAACATCTGTATTCAGTAAATTCAGGTACAGTGACATAACGTGATAGAACTGATCTGACATTTTACATTTTAATGTGACAATATTTACTGCTCTTGACATTGAAGTCTAATTTGATTAGGCTGGTAAACTACGAGGATACATTTCAGGTTAAAATCAAAGCAGTTACTGACTTCATGAGACTAAACGATAGCACCTACTGTAATATTTGAACATTTTGCTGTAAGGCAGTGCAGCACAAGAGCATCAGAGAATGGGTGTGATAGAAGCAATTAAGAAACAATGTTATACAAAAAGCACCAAACCATAGCGGTTACAGATTAACAATTAAACTATCAGAACTTAAAACCAGAGTATGAAAACTTTAAAAGAAGAAATAAAAAGTTGAAGTCCTACTTAAACCCACCCTTGTTGAGTACAACACACTCAGGGGTTGGACTGGAATTGATCCTACAAAACATCTATGATCCCACCCCTCTCCCTAAGACTTACAGCCTCAGGTGACAGAACAAATCACTTGAAACAAAGTTTCAGTTTCAATCACCAGAACAAAGCATGTGTATTCCTGAGAGCTAACCATTTCCGTCCTTGTAAAACACTTACAAAAATTGAGTATTTTGAAACATTCCTGCCTTTGCTGGCACATTAGTGCATCTCTTGGGCCAGTATAATAGCGTGAAAACATTGAGATTTGTGCATTGTAGGGCTGTCGCACTAACTGCAATAATGAATAGGGCTTATATATTTATTATTATTATTATATATCACATTGCTTACAGTATCGCAATATACTGAATAGTAACCCCTGTATAGTGATTGCATCACCAGATCTTTGCCAATACCACTGCTCAAATAATCAAATACTGCTGTATTGACAAGCCAACCGCATGTGACATCACATCGTCACATCATTATCAGTATTTGTTTTGTAAGATGGGAAAGCATCCCAGAGCGGCGAGGCCAAAGAAACCTGACACAGCAGAAGCGCTATCGAAAACAGTGCTACTCCATGTTAGGGGTGTAAGAAAATATCGATACACTTGAGTAACACGATATTTTGTTTTTTCTGATACTGTATCGATTCTCACACTGTATTGATTTTTTTTCTTAAACCCCCAACTGCTAGATAGCAGGACTGTAAGTGTAAACTGAGGGCTGTGATGTTGGATGTTAAAGGGACTGTATTAAAAAAAACACATGATTTGTGACATCACAAATAGTTTGACAGTCATCCTGGTCCAGTATGCAACTTGTACAGTGTGATGTACCAGTGCACATCCACTGAGAATGGACTTTACAGTGAAGTAGGAGACATCTTGTGTCCAGCAGAAAAACTTTAGAAATACATATCCATAGATATGTATATCCATAGACTTTTAGATAGAAGGAGTAGATTACTTTTTAAGGATTTAATGTGTAATTTATTTATTTTTTTGCAAAAAGAAATACACATTGTTCTAAGCAGGCCACTTTTAATATGTCTTAAATAATAAATGTCTGTTAAATAACTGGTGAACTTATTTCTGCTGAAAGTCACCACAGACCCAGGAGGAGGGAGATATAACTTCAGTGCGACAGCCATACTGCATTAAAGTAATTTTCTGATTTCTGATTCTGATCACTTACACACTGCAACAGAATGGGGGCCCATTCATAAAAACATTAGTGCTACTAGTGGTCAAGAACTCCACAGGATACCTTTAAGTCGAACTTCAGTAAAACCAGGAGTGCAACAGGTTTAAGTTAAAGTTCAGTGGCCACAGCAGCTGGGTTTAAGTAAACCACCGGTGAACCACTGGTTGTTTCAACGAATCCCATCCTAAAGCTTAAGCCACAGCTCAGCTAATGACAGAGCAACAGCTCCAATATACCTGACTCGGAGACATGTTTTCGCTTGTTGCTTGCTCATTCAGGTCGCCTAATGAGCAGGTGCTTAAAGCAACAGACTCAAGAAAATCTTTGGAGATGGAGGAAAATTCTATCTGCTATCGTCGTAGTATAAGTACAACTTGTGGTCACAGTGGCTGATGTTCAGCTGAAGTTATAGTCGTACTTTAAGTCCTTTTAAAGAGTATTTTGGATCATGAAGATACTAATAATGAGTGACAAATATTCCCTGTAATAGAGATGAGATAGGATTTGATAGCATTTAGTCACATTAACATCTGTTAACTGTGTATTTTAAGAGGAAGCTAGTCTACTGTGGATTTTTATGCAAAAGTCATCATCAGGCACATGTGAATGCAAAGCTGGCATAAAAACTAACTATATCTGTCAGTTTTGTATAAAAATCTCATTGACCCAAACCAGCTCCACACGACAGCCCTGAGAAACTATGATAAGCGGGAGAGGACAACACTAGCCTCTGTCAAGTGCCAGTAACACTGACTCTTGATGGTAGGTGATACTTCGGTCTGCTTATGAATAGCTGTCTACTGCCTGTTCTCTTCCACAACTCCAGTGGGCAGCTAAAACTGAAGATGAATAGTGAATTGTGATGTGGATCTACCACAGGGACTGATAAAGATGGAAAATTTCTTGCCGTAGCTGCTGTCCAGTAGAAATGAGAATAGAAGTGTGGGTGTTTATGTTAAAAGATGGACAAGACCAGAGAGCGTGCTGCAGGTGTAGGGTTTCAGGTTCAGGACTGCTGACTGCTCCACTGGTTTGCCATAGGCCTGCTGAGCAGTTCCTCCACATGGCGGGCCACGTCCATCGTGTCATCCAGGTCGAAGTCTCCATCTGCATCCAACATGGCGTCACTCCTGAGGGCAGAGACAGATACTACACTGTCATGGAGGAATTTCTAGAGCTGACACCCTCTGGTCGGTTGGTTGATATGCTCTTATCTGACCAAATTTTCATTGGTCAGACAATCGCTGGTGTTTTCATATGGAGAAAAGCACTTCTTAATCTATTATTTTTGGGGGGAGGGACATATGCAGATCTGATGCATTTTATTTTTGAGTGTTGGATATATTTTTAGAAAAACATTGGTTATGTATCAAAATAAAAATCAAATATATTTTACTCAATGAATCTACTACTGTTTTAATAATGGTATGGTTTAATAAACAATACATCAGAAAGTCAGAACACACCCGTTTGACATTAACCGCACTTTAACTGGAGGTCTTGAGACTGCAGGACTTAACTTACTGAACATTTATTCAGCTCCAAACTAACTGACACAATGTCAAATAACCAGCAACAATGTCAACATTAACCGCAGCCTAAGAGGAGCCTCAAGTTTATTTTACTACAGACTGCTTTCTTAACAAGGGCTAAGAAAGGGCTCGTAACAAAGGTTCAAGGTGAATGATGGACTGATTACGGACTGTCCGTGACCCGACTTCAAACTTCAAAAAATGACAGTTTTGCCATGTTTTATGTTGTTTGTTTTATTGTTGTTGTTTATCTTGCTGAACTTTGCTTAAGCATGTTGCTAAGTGGCTACTGCCTCTGGCTGGGGGAAGTTGGTCTAATGTCGTAATATTGAGGGACAGTGGAGAGAAACTGTGTGAAAGTTAAGCCTCATTTGAACTAAAAAAATGAGAGTAGCAGGTTGGATGCCAAATAATTGTTTTTCTGGAACTAGCAATTTATAATATCAGCTAGCAGGTAGACAGCGCTCAGTGCACCTTGGTCAATTTAGTTTACCTACCTTGACGCTCCCAGGATTGACTGTGAATCAAAAATGTTTAGGTCTGTAAAAGTGAGCTGCAGATTCAGCTGTCAATTATCTGTAGGTTTGTCACCACAAGGGATCCTTTTCGTATTGTTATCACATTATTTGATATATTGTTATTAGTATTATTATTATTATTATAGAAGTATTATTGTCTTAAATAGATAGAGTAAATTAAGTAATAGAGTGAGCTTACATAGAAGGGTAGACACCAAAGTTGTTGGGGTGGCTCACGGAGGGAGAGGCTGTCTGGTCCATGAATGTGGAAGTTCCTCCGCTGGGCTCAGGGTTGGTGAATCTACCAGAGACATATATACCACACATTACCATCACATGTCTGCAACAGGCCTACTGACTGACATCTTATAATAATGCATAATGATAATGATAGTAATAATAATGGAACCAGACTGATATGGGATTTTTGAAGCCAATACCGACTTAAGAGGGAAAAATTCACTGATTACTAATATGGTGGCTGATGTAGTGAGTTTTTGAGCTGGAATGAAAATTGACCATTTTTATGTAAATTATATGTGTGTATTGTTCAATACCGCCTACTGGCATATTGTTATTGTCTTGAAAAAATAACAGAATGAATCCCAGAGTCACGCTTTTACTTCAAATTAATTGTACAGTATGTGAAACACACCTCATAAAAAGGACAGAAGTGGATATATTTGAGACATCGTTAGTGTGAACACATCCTCTTTTTAGGATTCAAATATCAAATTAACACTAAACCTCCAGAACTTGCTTCTTTTTCAGTCCTGTCTGTTTAAAGTGATTTAGGTTTCCTGTGGCAGTTTTAGAAAAGAGAAAAAAAGACAACTTACTCTGGCACAACTTGTTTAATCTGTGGTTTTACGTATCCATCCACTGCTTTTGCTGCAAGAGAGACATACTGCCTTAAAAACTTTATTTCAGAGTTCTTTAAACTTTACAGTGTCATCTATGTAGGCCACTGAGTAAGTTATTAAAAAAACAAGTTAATGTCAAGAAAGTGTTCTTCACTTCGCAGATGTGTGTATTTAGCTTATGGCAGTGATGTATTGAACACAAAGATATAGTGCTGATACATACAGAGTGGAGGGGTGTAGTACTTTGCGAAGACCTCATCTTTGAGCCGGTTAGGGTAGAGAAACAGAAGGTGGTTAAGGTCACTGATGCGGTCGGCCAGGGAGCGAATGGAGAAGTCCTTGGTTGTATAAGGCAACAGATTCCAGACCAGCCTCTCACCTAGCCAAAGACACAGACAGCCAAGAATTACAGCCACTTTATTCACCAAGGCTCACCCTCAGTGTAAAAGAAGAAGGCACATTTTTTAAATCCTGGCTATATGTACTATTCATACCAAATATGATGTCAAATTGAGTATGTAGTGTGTCTCAACTGCATAGTATGTACATTTTGTATAAACGAGATATTAGAGATTAGAAATTCTGAGTATATGGTGTGAGTTTGCTGCACAGACTCAACTGTCTGAAAATACATTGTATTTCTTCATACTGATCAATGGCATACTGCGAGGAGGACGGTATTACTTCACCACTAAATTCACTTCTGAGATTAGAGGCGAGAAATCCACTGTGTATACTTACATATATTAGCAGTTTGACGATTGATTGAAAATTGATGGTGAAATCGAAAATGTCCCGCTCACAGACCCCTCTTGCAACCCACAGTCATAGAGACTAGGGCTGTAGCGATAAACTAATCTCACAATACGATATGATACACGATATTCAGCTCACGATACGA